AGTAAGAATGATTTTGACAATTAACATCCACTAACAGACTCCAGTTAAGACATACACAGCTCACAAGACACGACTGCAAACATGCTCTGGAAGCGAATTTCAGTTCACAGGAAATAATCGGGAGTCTTGCGGGTGGTGTCTGGCTCGATCTGGCGTGGGGCCGGGTCAAACTGAAGGAAGTTCTGCTCCATGTTTTCTCCAATTTCGAGTATTGCAGCCATGTTCCCACATCGGTAGCAGTAGTTCGGGGCACTAAACACTGTCACCACATTCTTTTCCTACAAAAATCCGGACACAGTAATTAATCCCATAAACTTTTTGCTTTGGTTTAAATACGAAACTATCATTTGTTTCAGTTCGATTACAAAAGGAATCCTGCTATAAACTTCTCTCTTTTAATAGCTATATGGGGTATTGGTAATCCTAATAGTAGCAATTCAATTTTCTTTAGATAGACGTAAAAACATGGCAGAACTGCATTTTCAATCCTGTTGGTTTAAAGTCATAGCAATTTTAGTACCAAGGTTCCAGCATTTTGCTTTTTGGTTCTGTGATTTAATATTTTGCAGCAATTAATTGCAACAAATTCCCAGATTTTCGATTTAGCAATTTAAGTCCTGTAAATCTTCGCCCCTTTGCTTCTACAACTATGCCCCCTCAAATGACTGAAATTGCGACAAAATATTAAATCACAGGACCAGAAGACAAAAAGATGGAATCTTGGGACTGAAATTGCTATGACGTTAAACCAACATGACTGAAAATGAATTTTTTGCCAAAAAACATTCATATTAACGATCCAACCTGACACCAATTGTAACCCTCCATGACAAGCTGGTGTGCTCTTGAAATGAGTGTGAGGCCATTGGTGTGATTGAATTGAGAAGCTATGTCCTGCCCAAACGTGTAGCCGGCCCCACGTGGAGAGATTCCCCATCCACATCGATCGTCCGGGTCAGACCACAGGAGATCGCACATTGGACCTTCGTGTGGGACCTAACACAGTCGAACGAAAAGTAAATTGACAGTGGAAAAACAGCGCTATTACCGTAAAAATGAATTTTATTAGATGTATAAAAAAGTGGATGATTTAGAGCTTTTGTTTCATACTTCTTGTATACGGTCTAAAGCTCGGATATTATCCAATGTATCAAGTGAAGGTGAAAGACCACCATGCAAACAGAATATCTGCAAGAAAAAGTTAACATAAAACATCAGATATGATCGACATGGGATAATCGATCAATATGAACGGGAGTTGGATTTTTGTAAAACCAAACCTGGCTCTCGATCAGTGCTGTCAAGGGCAAGTAATCAAAAAGATCAGTGAAATACTTCCACACATTGGCATTGCCGTACTTCCTCAGGCATTCATCATAAAATCCATACCTGGTGTTAAAGTTGTATTGAGAAAAAGGATAGCCTTAGAGGCAACAGAAAAATCTAGAACTCATCATAACATTTAGATAAAAAAAAAAAAAATCATCCAAATTAATCACCCATCTGTATGTATTCACAAGTTGTATTGAGAAAATGGATTGCCTATTGCTGTTGGAAGCCGACATTTCCAGAAGTGGCCTTCAAACTTTATATGGCACAGAACAAATGCTTTTCAAGCCCACAAGTAACAACTGTTCCTTTACAAATTACAACTTTGGAAATCCTTTTACAATTACCAACAGAACTTTATTTTTACTAATTAATGGCACTAACAATAAATTTAGACAGATTCTGTGGCAACTACTGAAGTATTACAAATCAATCCGGACAATACAGCCAGTAAAAGATCAGTAGAGAAGATAAAGGTCATACACTTGAGTGATTTGGCGACTTTCATGGTTTCCTCTAAGGATCGTGATCCTATCTCTATAACGAACTTTCAGAGCCACTAAGAGCGTTACTGTCTCCACTGAGTAGTAACCACGGTCTGCATGAAAAATAATGTCCGATAAGTGAAATGTTTATTCATGTCAAATGAGGCTTACAGTTTCCAAAAACCAATTAATTAATTAAGCCAAAGAAACCAAGTAAATCAACCATATTATTATTTTCTTTTTCGTTTGCCGGGGGTGGTTTGTTATTATTATTTTCTTTTTTGGGGTGGGGGGTGGAGATTGTGTTCAGGGATCTAGTGCATAAAAGCAAGCAATAAACCCACTTATAAACTTAATTTTTTTTTTCTTCTTTCACATACCAATTTAGTGTACCATAAAGATGAATAACTAACAATAAAATACCAAAAATGAAAAGAAAAGCAAAACCCTAGAGGAGTCACGTTCCCTCATTTGATGCAATACAAAGACACGGACAATATCATGGAAGGCATAACAAATATTACGTGTCGCAAATCAACATCAAAGTTTTATCATTTGAGTATAAATGATTCACCTATCGGTTTGTTATAAAAGCTAAACTGCAACAAAATAAAAAACATTAACAGATTGCCATTAGCCATCATCTGAAAAGCATGTAATTGGATAAAAATGAAGAAACACCCACCATTTAAGAAAATATCGTACGGCAGTGCGTGAATTGGCATGTTACATATATGTGCAAAATAAAACATTTTTTTTAACTTTTTCACTGTATATCCAGCCCACTACCAAACCAGGAAGCATCAAGTAATATCCAATCTCTAATTCAAATAGTAAGTACATAATTATCCTAGGAAGATTTACAAGCTTTACGGCAATTCGGCTTAGACTTGCGGGGGTAAAAATCCCCAAATATCAGCTTCCGCTTAGTTGTATTCTACTTCAAAATTAAGCCACCAAGAGGAATCGAAAAGGAAAAACTAAGATATAGGCATTGACTAGTAAATTTTACTTAAATCCTATCAATTAGCACATCTATCAATTAGCACATCTTCATAGTTATAGTAATGTAATCTACTTAATAAGCTCAAACTAAAACAACCCCACAAGTAAATCCACTGGATGTTCCAACTACCAATCACAAACACCAAGAACAAAACCCACAAACTACTCATCTCCATGTCCATCAACACTAATAATCTCAACACAAACACATCCAATCAAACATAAAGATTAGAAAACAAGCCCCCCTCAATAAATTCACAACAAAACCAAAAAAGGGCAAGAAGAAACAACAACTCACCAACATAGTCTCCCATGAACAGATAATTGGTGTCCGGCGCATTACCGCCGATCCGGAATAGCTCAATCAGGTCGTAAAACTGACCGTGAATATCGCCGCACACGGTGACGGGGCACCTCACCGGCTGCACGTTCCACTCCTCCACCAGGACCGCCCGCGCCTGATCGCACAGGGACTTAACCTCCGCCTCCGGCAGCGGCTTGCACTCCATCAGCTGCTCTATCTGCCTGTCCAGATCCCCGTGCACCGGCATTGTCGCTAGAAATATTTATCGTCTTAACAAAAAAAATCAAAAAAACTCCCTCAATCCTTTTTTCCCGATCCGAATTGTGAGCTCGCAGGCACAGCTGGTCTCGTCGCCGCCGCTGGATCACATGAGATCTGGAATTCGGAGATTCTTATGATAATTTGGTGCGGCTTTTTTCTTCATGATACTTTCGCTCATATATGTATGTATACAATATACATACAGATATGGAGATCTGTATATATATATATATGTGTGTGTGTAGCAGTGTAGGTTGGCGCCGAGTGCGTGAAGAACTGTGAGAGAAGGAGAAGAAATGGTGAGATGCGAAATGAAATTCAAATGAAAACGTGATGTTGTGAAACTCTGTGTGTGTGATTATTATTATTAATTAATTAATATTAATATGTTATTATGGAAAAATAAAAGAAATCAGCAATTTCTCTGCCCGGGGACTCTTTTTTTGCAGTGCCGGGTCAACTCAAAACGGTGCGGGACACGTGGCGGGCTGGTAGCGAAAAGGACCGTGGTTAAACCTTGGTGGGCCAATCAGGTCCTCTAGTCGGGCCAAGTTCATTCCTAAATGGGCCTTCGGGAGGTGGATATATTGGACGGGCTCCACTATTTGGGCTGTTATTTTTTATATGGGACTACACTATTTGGGCTAGATCAAACTATTTTATCTGGTTCAAATATAATTAAACTAATATCAGCCCAGCCCAATATTGTGCACTCAGTGTACATCAACCCAAATTGGAGACACTACAGTTCACTTTTTTCTCCACCCTAATTTATCTATGGCAAAGTTTCTCTACTTTCAATATATGCTAACAAAGCACTTTATAAAATCAAACTTGCAATCTCACCTTTGTAATTATCCAAACAAACACTGCATAGAATTAAAAGGTTAGAAATTAAAGTTGAGAATGTCTTAAAAGGGGATAAAAGCAGTGGCAAAAGGAAAAAAAATCATGCGGGTATGCTTTATTTCAAATATAACATTGAAAAAAGTAGTTTTGTTTGTTACCTTTAATTATTGTAGTGTGAGTCTCTTAGAGATTAAGGTTTTTCGAACTTAAAAAAAAAAAAACAATTTTAATCCACTAGTTTTGAGTATCTCGTCCAATAACATTTTATAGAATTTAATTTGAAGGATATCAATTTGATACAATAATTTTCAGTTTTCTCTCTATCTACAATGTTGCATGAAGAGTGAATTGACCTAATTTAAATTTTTCATTAAAAATTTGAAATCGTGATAATTACAAATTAGGAAACATATTAAAAACGTAAACGTAGGACTGCTTAAGTTTTAGGATTGCCTAACAATAGATTTACTGATTGAATATTAGGGATTTCATAATCCCTACAATAAGAGAATTAAATTCCAACAGTAATATAACAATTACAACGTATTTTCTCATATTATAATTTCATTGAAAATTTCAATTAAAACATTCTCTTAAAAAGTTAAAATAGTTTACACTGAATTTTATATTAGATTGCAATTCCAACAATAATTTTTCATTACCACTGGAAAAATAACCTCAACCGAATTTCCTATAACAAAGTCGTTGGCAAAATTATTATTGGAATCGTCAAATTCCTATTAAAAATTTAATTGCACCGAATTATCCGCTTGGAATTTGTAAATCTCCCTTTCGTTAGTGAACTCTGCAATTAGGCCCATATATATATATAGTAATTTGTAAAAAAATCCAAATGGAACAAAGACTAAAACAGTGTCACTTACACAAAGAATCTGGTGAAATAGACCAACTCAAAGATGCTAGCTAAACCATGC